AAATAAAGTTACTTTCGAGATATAGGGCCCGACTCCGCGCGCGCGTCACCCCAGGTGCCCGAGGAAAAAAAAAAAAAATCCCAAAGAAAATTCGCTTTATTTTACACTTTTTGGCGTGACCTACGAGTGTTTATATTACGTTAACCAGTGTAAATTCGTTTTCTCTCATCACTTATAAGAGAGAACGAACTTTCGGGGATACACCGATAGAAATTTTTTCCTCTGGGGGGATCATTTATGCTATATATTATTTTTTAGGTGTGTTTTTTTTGTTTTATGCTCTTATTATATTGCTTATGTCAAAATAGTCAATTGGATAGATAAAAAAGCTTATATTTTTATATTTGCTGGGTAAGGAAAATTTTTTTAAAATTTTTTTGGCTGGAGGTGTCGCCTTTTTTGGGGACTTCCAGGGACCTGAAATGATTACTTGATTCATTACTCCGCCCCTCTGGATGATGTAGATGGTGAATTGATTTATGAGACATCAAAAGATTAAAAAAACAATAAAAAAAAACACGGGGGGAAAAGTAAACAATCGGTCAGCGTTGTTTCCAATATGAGCAGAGCGCTGCACCATCCTGTTATAAATGGCTGTAACCCTTTTAAAAACATCGTAAAGGATAAATTTATCAGATGAGCCAGAATTTCAGTATTTTTTGGTAAAAATAACTCCTTTTCTATTTTTTCAAATTTTTTTTTTTTTGCTCCGTGCGGTAATCCGTCCCCCAATTGGTTTCTTAAGAAAAAAAATATACATCAAGTTTTTTCCCAGTGCTTTCCCACGTTTTCAACATGACGTTTACATCATCTAAGTACCCCTAAATGCTTCCCCTTTGAGCCCTTTAAAAAATTTATTTAATCCTTGAGAATGTGATGGGGGGAAGAGTGTAACCCAAAGGCCATATGGGGGAAGTGATAAAAGGGGGGGACCGGTTCACGCCCGCGGAGCAAAAAAAAAATTTAAAAAAATAAAAATGGATTTTGGTTCCCAAAAAATAGCTAACTTTCGGGCTACACTCGGGGATAATTATTATCCTTGAGATGTTTCAAAAAGGAATTACAGCCTTTATAACAGGAAAAGGTGACAGACTCTGGTTTTTGGGAAAACAAGCCTGAGGGGCTTTGTTTACGTTTTGCCCCTGTTTTTTTATCGTTTTTTTTATCTTTTGTGTCTCATATAATACAAATTCACCTTTGACATCATCCCAGGGGGGCGGAGAAATGAGTAAGTAATCAGTCGGTCCCCGGGGGTATAGTACCCAAAAGGGCCGACACCCCCACCAACAAAATTTTCCCAAAAATTTTTTACCCACCTAATTCAATTTAAAGGGTTATTTTCTATCAACAATTTATTATTTTGACATAATGCAATTAATAAAGCATATAAAATAAAAAGCCACCCTAAAAAAAAAATTATACTAATTGATGCCCCCGAGGAAAAAAAATTTTTATCGGGGTATCCCCCCCGAAAGTTCGTTCTCTCTTTAAAAATGGTGGAGAAAAAGAATTTCAATGGTTAACGGTAATAAAAACTCGTAGGTCACGCAAAAAGTGTAAAATAAAGCGAAAAATTTTTGGGGAATTTTTTTTTTCCGGGCACCTGGGGGGCCCCGCGTTCGGGCCCATATCTCGAAAATAATTATTTACTATTTGGGGAAACCCTCTTTATTTATGATTGAATTGACTTGTTTTTTCCCAAAAAACATAGGAGAATGATTGTTTACAAGGTGGGGGTCCTTTCTGAACTATCCCAAAAAAATTTTTTGATTTATGGGGCAACAAGACCCACATCTTCCATTTTGTCAAAAATTAGAAACTTTATTTTTTTTTTTGCATGAAAAATAAGGTTTTTTTAGAATTAGTACCTTTCATGATGGAATTAGAGTGTTTATCAGCAGAATGCAAAAAACCCCTTTTCCAAGTACATTGAGAAAACAAGCCCTGCCAAAAGCAATTTTTCTAAATTTTGCATATGTATTCCCTTTTGGCGATTGATTTAAACTTTAGCACAGGTATCGATTAAGTTTAAAATACACCAAAAATGAACGTAACGGGTTTAAAAAAAAGAAGGTTTTTTTTGTTAGACCGGTCCCCCAATGACCTGTAGGGGGGAGAATGTGGGAGCTCATGGGTGTTCTCTGAAAGGAAATATCTAAAACCCC